TTGTGGCACAAAAAAAATGCCAAAATATATTATCTGATTCCAGAATTTTTCAATTCAATAAAATTATCTCCTCATTTGTGTGTGTACTCTTTATGATATTTGTCACAGATCAACATCATAATCTTGTCTCACTAGAGACATCATTAGGTTTTATGCTTTGGTGCCAAAACTACAGCTATAAATAATATCTGAAAAATGGAGCACAGATAAAGAATAACCATCCAACTCTGTTAAGCTCATAAAACTACTTTGTAGTCAATACTAAAGTACATTCTGACTAATTCAATACAACCTTACCTTCTAAATTTTAGTTAAGGATCTGAAATGTGTTAAAATGACTAAAATTTCTCACTCAAGAAAAGACCAACACATTTACCAGCCTATAACTGTAAAAAAAACATCCAGGGCAAAAAAACAGCTATCCAAGGGACAAGAGAGCAACTGTCCCCAGGAATATCCCCAGATAGTATGACAGACCAGGGAAGACCAGCATATTATGACCTCTTAGGTATATAGGTATATAGAAATATATGAAGCTAAGAGGTATGTTCCAGAGGAGTAACTGAAGCGATCCAGTCACACTTTTCACATGCAAACTTATATTCAAAAACAATGTTTCCTATCTTCTTGAATGTTATCCCCAGTGATGTCCCAAGTGTTATCCCCAGCAATATATCACAACACAATGGGATCCGCACCCATGTACAGTGATTCTGGACCTTCTGGGCATGCAACCAATCAGTATGCTTTCCAAGTACGCCTTGGTAGCTTAGTTGGTAAAGCACCAGACCATAAAAGTGTTAGAATATACTCTGACATACCAATACCCCATAGGATAATACCTCTGATTTGTAAGCCAGCCCAGTATGCAGCAGCTATTCTGTATAAGACGTCCGTGGTTGCATGTCATGTTTAAGATCCTACATTGTATAACCTTGGCCATATAGCTCAATTGGTAGAGCAGCTGGCATGTATTCAGAAGGTTCCAGGTTCAATCCCTGGTCTGGTCAATATCCAATTTTATCAGAAAGCTGGAGTCCCAGGTTCAAGCCCTGGCCAATGCATGTTTTCTCATACTATAAACAAATGTCATAATATGTCACAATATCCCAAGGAATGTCCCCACACCCCCGGGATTTCCCATGGGACATCCTCATCTTCCCAGGTGTTATCCCCAGTGATGTCCCAAGTGTTATCCCAAGGGATGTCCCTATACCTCTGGGATTTCCCATGGGACATCCCCATCTTCCCAGGTGTCATCCCCAGTGATGTCCCTATGTGTCTGGGATTTCCTATGGGATATCCCCATCTCCCCAAGTGTTATCCTTGAACATTCCAAGTACAATCCTAATGGATATCCCTATAGGCCTGGCACTTCTGAAGAGATATTGACATCTTCTCAAATATTATCCTAACAGATATTCCTATATCCCTATATTTCCAGTTAATATCCCAATGTATATTCCAATATTCCCAGGTGCAATACCTGGAGATGATCCTATCAATCTGGGACTTCCTGAACTATCCCCAGGATGAACCACATGGATATTTTCATCTTCCAAAGTGCCCCATATCTTATTCCATCAGATTGTTACATGTGTGTGATACTCTCCAAAAGCATTGAAAGTGCAACATCTGAAGGATGTCCCATCAGTATGTACAAGTCCGCAAAATCTTGAAGCCTCCACTAATATCGGCGGGGCACGCAAAAGTAGCAATTTAATTCCTAGAGGAACTAGTTAGTAAATTAGGAAATTAGGATACCTTTTTAGGTGTCATCAGACCATATAGCTGATGCTGTGGCACAGGATGCATGAATATATTATTTCAATCCAAGAATTTTTCAATTTGGCAAAATCACTCCCTAATTAGTGCACAGTGCACTCTTTACTATACTTGTCACAGATTAAAATCTCAATCTTGCCTCACTAGAGATGTGATTGGGTTTTACACTTTTGGTACAAAAGCTACACCTAATATCTGGAACACACATAAAGGACAATCACCTAACTCTGTAAAGCTCATCAAACTGCTTTATACACAATAATTTAGTGCACCCTGACTAATTTGATGTAATTTCACCTTCCAACCTTTTAAAAATCTGGATTGTGTACAAAGAACCACAATTTCTTTCTCAACAAAGACCAAACATTTAGCACCCTATAACTGTAGAAGAAGACACCAAGGATAACAGAGCAGCTGTTCCAGGGATAAGAGAATGATTGTCCCTGGGACCATAGAGTGGTTGTCCCTGGGGACATCCCAGGGGACATCCCCAGCTATTCTGACAGACCAGGGAAGACCAGCATATCATGACCTCTTAGGTATATAGGTATATAGAAATATATGAAGCTAAGAGGTATGTCCCAGAGGGGTGACTGAAGTGCCAGATTAATAGATAACTGATATAAGTTTGAGACAAACTATAGAATACTAGAGCTACTTGTGGCAAATAATAAACAATCACAGACTGTAATCACACTTGGACTACTGTTATCTGTGACAGACGTGACTTGATGACTAAGCTTCCTAGGGTGGGCAATACCTCTTGTATGCTTCCTAGGCAAAAGCTAGTTGACTTCTGAGTGGTTGTCCACTTATGTGGGGACTGATTGTAAGTAAAAGCTTTTTTTTTATTAGGTGGAAAGTTGGCCTCCTTATATACCTTTTGGCTATAGGGGCTCCTTCCTAGTTGGTAATTACAAATGGTAGTACCAAAATATCTAATGGAAAATCAAAAGGCCAGAATCATCTATTAGGAATCTAGATGATTCTAGAGTGGTCTTTTTGAGACTAAGAATAGAAAAGTAATTTGAAAATGTGGAGCAAAATATGACTCAGTCAGGCACAGTGTTCTATTATAAGAAACAAATGCCAATTCAGCCTTCTCCACAGTAAAACAAGAATTTTGGAGAATTTCCTTATTTGGAAGCCCTCCAAAAGTATCCAGACTGATAGGGGCATGAAAGTATTACCTACTCCCCAAATGTAACAACCAAAAGTTAGTTACTCTGGCGCACAACTCAGACAAGCAAAAAAGGGATTACCAATCAACAGTATGTACCGTTGACTGGTCAGAGAGTAATGAAAGGGATCACCCCTTAGGTTTCAACAAGTTAGTTGCGAGGATACAACAGGAGGACTCGCTGAGTCCTTCCCCAAAATCTATTGGGGTTTATATACTAATACAGGTTTGTTTGTACATATGTACTGTACAGTTGCTAGAGGCAGTGGCTGCTGATGTCATGGGGCCTAGCCCGTGTGACCAGCTCCACTATGTGAAATACTTGTAGCTAAAATAAGAACAAAGGCAGCGCCGTGCGAGAAAGGTGGAGTTTGAATTAAAAGGAAAGTGCCACATGGCACAGTGTGAAAACTACAGTACAAGGTTAAAGTGGAGAATGAAAATTAAATGAAAGGTCCAAAAATGAAAAGTAAGGTAAATGGTCACATGACTGGTCATGTGACATGGAAAAAGTAAAAGTAAAGTGCAAAAAGTAAAGTGTGAGTAGGTACTGGTACGTCAATTGTAACACCAAAAACCGGAGTGATTGGTGAAGTGGTTGTTGAGAAAAAGGCAGATTATGTTGTGGGAAATTCACTTTCCCTTTTCAGAAACTGACCATGTGCAAGCCATGTGGTCAGATTTCAGTTTGGCTGCTAGTGGCTGACAGTAAGTGTGATACAAGCATTCTTGTTTGGCTCATATCTCCAGAACTAGCGGTCATCAAAATATAAAACCTTATAACATAGTAGTTTGGAATGTGTACTTCAAGATGAGGTACTTTTTGCAGGGTACAATATGTTGTGGAATGCCATGTCCATACATGAAACATTTTTCATGTATGACAGCATGATCAAGTAGAGAACGAGAGGATGATGAAAGGTATAACTGGCGGCAGCTCTGGTTCTGGTAACTGGGGACCCAACGGCAGATACCAACAAGGAGGCGCTTCAGAGAAAAAAGCCGAGTGTCAGGCAACGAATACGAAGCTATATAACAAAGTACAATGCCTGGTCAAGTCCTTGTTGGAAGGCGGTGAATCAGGGTATGAGCTTTGAAGAGTATCAGTATAGGCGCAAATCCAAACTAATATTGAACTAGAGAATAATACATCGAGTATATACTTCTTTATATAGTGAACGGCGATGGTCAGACCGAGAAAGGGAAGAACTAAAAAAGTGGTCTGACCAGCTAGCTAACCAATAAGAAAAGAAGGAGAAGGTGGTCCGATCTATCGTATTTACTAATTGTATGAGAAAACGTATTGGTAAGGGGTGTGTGATTGGCTGTATCAGTAAGCCCATGAGAAGGTGCTGACTCACAACCTTCTTCGCTTATCAATATCCCTCCGAAGTTTTCCCAGACATAGCACTGGATTGTTGCTATGTCATTTGGATATCTTCTTGAGGGTCTACAACAAGTCTCCTTTGTTGTAAGTACGATAGGACGTGAGTGTGAATAGAGAATAAGAAGAAAAAGGATAAAAGTAATAAGACACCTGCTGTGATCTCTAGTCCAAGGGCAAGAGGAGTGACAGGGATTGAGTCTGTTAACCACGACATGACGGGAATGCGATAAGAAAAATTGAATCCTCACACCGAGACGGTGGAAGAGAAACAAGACGGATAACCACTTACAGTGGAGCTGGACAAAAAATGGAAGTAGACAAAGCGAAGTATTGGGCGGAGGGCAGATGCTTCAAATATGGAGAGAAAGGGCATAGAGCCCAAGATCATAAAGAAGGATGCAGCGCAGCTGCAAAACCACACTTCAACCTTAGGGCCATGTTCAAAGGAATAAACAAAGAAGAAAGAGATAAGCTCTTAAAGGATTTTTAAAGAGGCCAGCTGCAATTCCTTGTCAGACTGAGCCTACAAACAATAGATATGCTTCCCTTTCAATTGAAGATCTTGTTGTCATAGAAACATGTATTAGTATGGAAGAAAATGACATTGCCTTAACCAAAGACACAAAAGATCTGAGATTAAAAGAAGCCATAAAAGAGGAAAACCTGAAAGGGAAACAGGTTGAAAAAATTCCCAAAGATGTGGTGCACCCAAAAGGGAAAAGTGCAGCACAGGAACAGATTGCGGTGCACAAGGTATCTAAAGGGGATAGAACCATGAAAAGCGCAGCAACCAAGGAGACAACAAGAACACAGAATACGGTGACTCAATTGGGCAGCACTGATGGTACTGATGTTTTGACATGCTCTGAAGAGGTCAGTCACGGTCACCGCCAAGCTCCGCCAAAACACGCAATCAGTCCTTCTCCTACCAAGCTATCATAATTCAACAAAGAGTGCAATAACTGACATATCTTACTGCAAACACGCTGCAGACAACATCAATCCAGAACAGTGGAATGTCGCATGCATCGCAGGCCATGTCGAGACACCGGTTCTAGCTTCTGTGGACCTAGAAGTAGACCGAGAAGGATGGCAAGATGACAAGTATGCTATGTAGCAGGCCTCCGAGAAAACGTCACACAGACATAGGCGGATAAAGAGGGCGTAAAAATAAAGCGATGCCTTCTAGCCTAAGCTGTCTGCTTATAGGGCTTCTGTTTTTGTTTCACAGCGGAGTGATAGGCATCCGTTCTCCTTTTACGTCCACTTCACTGTCACCCAGCATGGTACGATCACGTTTATACTTTAGTTGAAGGTGGTCGTCACTCACGGATCACTGAACAGATTTTGCCTATAGGAGACTACTGAACAACTACAGTGTCCGCTCCAGCCAGCGACCTCCTGAAAGTGGTCACGAGAGGATTGGAGAGGTATGTGTATACCGGATCATCACAAGGTGTCTCGGTCAACGCGATGGTAGTTTATAGGGTCTGACCAGCTTTGTGATATGGATCCTCACAAGATCGAGATCTGCGCCATGGTACAAGCCAAGTCATAGGTGCCCGACTTAGATTTGGTGTTGTTGTGACCTGAAAACTAGTATTGTCTGAATGCAGGGTAATGCTCCGTGTTGCCTTCTTATTCAGATCAGAGATTCAATCGTATTGACTGTAAACAGTTTGCAAAGTACGGTACACAGCTCTACTTAATTATAAACCTACATTCAGTTATGACTGGTTGTAGTGTGAATTGAAACGCCACGCCACGCGTACGGTGTAAGCCTCAGATCACGTGAACAAGTAACACGTCAGAACTCCAGTTTACAGCCTTGAGAAGGGGAGAACTCGAAAGTTTCTTAGATACATACTACCATGGTGCGGTCTACAATAATTGTGCGGGCGTCGGATGCTCTTCCATTGTCTGCCAGTGTAGACGACGAACAGGTGAGCCTGTCTGGACTTGTTACGGGCATACATTATAACGGATAATTTCCTAGACAGAACAAGTTCTTCAAGAGCACAAGCAACAATCCAAGCTCATTTTCAGACGTATAACGCCCAATTCAGAACCACGGTGCTCAATCGAGAGTGGACAATATACTCTACAGTATGTGCTTACTTTTATCTGTAAAGTTTGAGCTGAAACGACTTCACCAGTTACCTTATTGCAGATAATGTCGTGTACTTAACCATTGCAGACAAGTCATATCCTCGGAAACTTGCGTTCTCGTACCTAGACGAGCTATCGAAGGAGTTTGCAGTGTCGTATGGTCCTAAGGTTGAGACCGTGCGGAAACCATATGCCTTCGTTGGATTTGGTGAGTGGCATGTGCTCCACCTCACCCGTTTCTACCAGCGCTAACTTCTGGTTAGACACCTTCATGTCAAAAACTGCCCGATTATATCGGGACACGAGAGCAGCGAATCAAGGCAGCTCGAATCTGGACAAAATAAACGACGAGCTTCAAGACGTGACGAGGATCATGACCAAGAACATGGAAGAACTTTTGTGGAGAGGAGATTCACTAGACAGTACGTATTCTTGGTCTTCTCGATGGTCAGTTCTTGATCTCTGTTTTCACTAGGGATGTCGCATCTGTCAACTTCTCTCCGGTCCGAATCTGAAAAGTATCGTAAAGCAGCGAGAAATATAAACATCCAAGCTATGATACGACAATACGCCCCATTGGGAGCTATAGGGCTCATTGTTATCATTCTACTATGGTGGCGGTTTTCATGAGGGATTGGACGCATGTTGCATTCTACGTTATTATATTAACTCGTAGTATTCAAGTTGTCGTGGACCGTACTGGGACTTAGACGCTCCAGGTTAGTCAGCTGGCGGATAATATCGGTTAGCGTTGTTTCTTATGATGTTACCGCCACTATCATATCTCTGTACATTATCCAGAATGGTAGTTCTCTTGGCAGAATGCCTTGTAACTGAAGCTTGTGATGAAGTTCCTTAGGCAGTCGTGTGGCTGCTCTTGTATTGCATGTTTGATTTAGGCTGTTGACTGCTTATCTTGGTTTTTTCTCATGTTCCGCTTGTACTTTGAGCAGGCTTTGGATATCTGATTTTCCGCGGCGAAGTTGTGTAACGTTCTCAACATCGACAGCGCCTCCGGGTTCAGCTGGGATTCTTCCATGGTATGCGGGCAACTTGAAATCAACTTTCCATGGTTCTTACTTGATTGGTTCTTACCATGTGTTGGCGAATAGTATGTTTTTAGGAAGCGCCAATACTTCAAGTTGGACCCCACTATCTGTCATAGGCTCAAGGCAGTATCCTTGGAACGGCGCTGCCCCACCAGGCTTGCTTCATTGCACCAATATGATGTGCTACGGAGTCTGAGTAGAGTCGCCTGCTGACTTTATCCAAGCTAAACGTGAATGAAGCCTCGCTTATGAGGGATTCTCCAGATTCCAGCGACGTCTGTTGGGATTTGCGACTATCTTTCCATCGCTTCTGGTATCTATGTGCGTTATATTTTCTATTTTATCAAACTGTGATCAGAATCTTGTTTGGTCTCTTGTAGCACCCTTCAAATAAGCCATTATTGACATTTGGAAATAGAGTCACTCACTTGGTTTGAGTACAGCCATTTCGTTGAACTTGGCTTTGATAATTCCCTTACAGCCCGAGGATATTATGGACTTCGACAGCTTTAATTTCCGCGTACTTCTCGCCAGCTAGTATTCGGCAGCTCTGGAAGAATCACGCTCCCCTCGTATCACTTCACTTGTGGAGCCGCCACGTCAAACAACTGTTCAGCTAGGATATAGTTAACTATATACGCGGGAATGCTTGACCTGCTGGGAAACTATAAAAGGTGTAAAGCGCGTTCCGTCGACCGTGAAAACGCTATGTTTCTCGCCTCTTTTTGTCCGATCCACGAACTTTCATCACAGCATCTAGTAATGACACTCTCAATCAACTGGCTCGACGTGATTATGGCAGGGTTTGCGCTGTTCTTCGTAAAACAGCTCCTCAAGAAGAGGTCCGTTTGTCCACTTCCTCCTGGCCCCAGAGGGCTTCCGCTGTTCGGAAGTTATTTTGACATCCCTTCTGAACTACCATGGTTGACTTTTGCGAAATGGGGAGAACAATACGGTATTTATTTCCATGTCCAAACCTCAATCATCACTGGCATTTAATTCAAAAACGCTACAGGGGATATATGTTCCTTCAAAGAGTTGGGCCAGCGCATGATCATTGTCAATTCTGCATCTGTAGCCTTGGAGATGCTAGACAAGAAGAGTCGGCTGTACTCCAATCGACCACACTTAACGCTGGCAGGCGATATAGTGGGCTGGAATATGTCTTTGGTCCTTTTGCAATATGGCGCCCGCTTCCGTGAATATCGCAAGAATTTGAACCGCACCATCGGCACTCGTTCTAGTATGAATAAGTATGAAGCCCTTGTTGAGAATAGGGCCCATCATTTTCTACGGAATGTTTTGAACGACCCGGCAGCATTGTGGGCTCATCTCCGGATGTGCGTGAATGGTTTACTAAATACTCTATTAGACTTTGAAACATCGTCTCTCATAGGACTTCCGGGTCAATTATACTCCGAATTGCATATGGACATGAAGCTCTGGACGTCGCTGATCCCTACCTGAAAGCTGCCGATACTGCTGTTCATTACTTCTCGATCACTACGTATGCAGGTGCATTTGTGGTAGATCTAATCCCTTTTTGTAACATATATTCTCTCGTTTTCCGGCTTCGCTCGCTGATTATTAAAATAACCAGTGCAATACTTACCAGATTGGTTCCCGGGTGCAGGTTTCAAGACCGTTGCAAAGGAAGCAAAAGAGAGCTTAAAAATGATGGTCGACCATCCTTACGATGTTGCTAAGGATCAGATAGTAAGAAATCTGGACAGCATACTTTGTTTTGAGTTTATCCTGCTTACCCTCTATTTAGAAAGCAGGCACTGCCCTGCCTTCTTTCACTTCCGAGCTTCTTGAAGATCGAGCCATTTCCGCAGAGGAAGAATCCATCGTAAAATGGTCAGCTCAGACGCTGCACATCGGTAAGTTTGAGCATCAGCACATTGGGGAAAGCCATAACTTATACCAGTGATATTGGACATAGGTGGTGCAGATACGGTGAGCAATATTTTATGTTCGTGCCTTGTTTACATATTGAAACACATAAGACTGCTGGTACTCTTTATTCCTTTTTCCTCGCAATGACGCTTTTCCCCGAGGTACAGAAGAAGGCTCAAGATGAAATCGACAGGGTTATTGGCAGTGACAGGCTCCCAGCTGCCCATGATCGCGAGTCTCTGCCCTACATCAACGCCATAGTTCTAGAGACCTTGCGCTGGCATTGCCTCGTGCCCCTCGGTACGCTGACCCGCTCGTTGCTTGATATATGTCTGATCTGATTTAGGTGTGACTCATGTTTCTACGGAGGACGACATCCACGATGGTTACTTTATACCCAAAGGTTCTATGATTGTAACAAACCTATGGTTGGTATAAATACATTTCTATTTGCTCTTCTCAAAGTATTGAAATCGATTCTAGGAAGATGCTCCACGATCCCCGAATTTACAAAGATCCCATGGAGTTTAATCCAGAACGGTTCATTGCTACTGAAGGTAAACCTGCAGAAAGAGACCCTCATCACGCATGTTTTGGTTTCGGCAGAAGGTAAATCTCGTGTGTTATCTGAGTCTGTATGGGATCATGATTGACAATAAACTGCTTGATAGGATCTGCCCAGGTAGTGCTATTCGTGTGAAAATTAATGTGGCTGCTAACTTCTGTGGCAGGAATACTTCTAGCTGGGTTATCCATATTTACATCGTGTGCCATGACGCTGGCTGTGTTTGACATTTTAAAGTGCACCGAGAATGGTGTACCCATAACGCCTGAGGTAGGACAGACGACGGGGACCATAAGGTAGGAATACATTTCGAATTTGAACATTATTCATTTGACGACATGACTGTGCAGCCATCCTAAGCCATTCAAATGCTCCATCAACATACGTTCAGCAAAAGCATTATCACTGATTCAGCAAGAGGCATGAGAGATTATGGGACTTCTGATTCCATTCTATAATCGAAGAACCGCTTTCTATGTCAATGTTCTGATGCGCAACTTTTAGCTTGATGTTATTCTTGTTAACTAATCCAGAGAACTTGTCAGGGGGCATTGTACTTCATATATTTATATTCCGGCCCTCCAGGCAATGTTGACCAAAAAAAGGTATTGCTTTCCGGCGTGACTCGGCGCATACCCGGCCAATAACTATAAACTGGTTGTTTCATCATTTCACATAAAAAAACAAGTGATATGTATACTGAGATCTGTGTCACGAATACTCTTAACCCTTATCCACCAGGACAGCCTCAGTTTTAATGTCAGTAAACGATGCTCATCCAGCTCCAATACATGCTTGTTTCATGACAGCGGATCTTCAAGTCAGGCGTACACACATTCATGCAGTTAGGTTCAGCCAACCCTGGGCGGGCTTTCTTATCCGATGTTCCAATCTGAGAACAATTGACATGTCTCCGGAAATCAGCCCGGGCGCAGTGAAAGCCCATCGATGAAGTCTTGATAAGTATAGGCAGGCCACGAGGCATACCAAGTGGGGATTCAGCTGGGAAAACGGTTGCCTTATCATCAATCAGTTTGTCGTCTTTCGTTCTCATTCATTCTTATACCTTCTCGTTCGAAATTCACGATGAGCGGGACAGGCGGTTTTACAGTACCAATGCAGCAGCCGCAACCTTACACACCGCCGTCTGGCACTCAGATCTCTCCAGGATCAATCACATACACCACTTCCACGGGTTCGGATGGTCGAGTGATATACCATCCTTTCCGGTGAGAGAAAGACGCCTTGATCCTTCTGCCTGTGAGCTGATAACAGTCTTCCACATCGCAGAGCCGTACCTGCCAGGTAACTCAAATCTTATTCCTCAACGAGGACAATCTACTATCACACATGCTGATCAACATTTTCAACAACAGCTATGATACACCACAAGGCATTGTTCATGGAATCCAGTGGGTACCAGCAGAAGCCACCCAAATATTGCCCTCAGGTGCTCAGCCAGCTAACGCAGTAAGGGAGTTAATTGCACATGATCCCACATACCTGACGGATATTCATCTTAGGAATTTGCGGCATCATGGAATCGAGGTATGCTCAGTAGAGATGACGAGAAAGCACTTCATAAATGGTAATATAATTATTGAGATGCTTCTTAAAACCTAGTAATTGAACGTATTACTTAGGCAACGGGAGGAAGAAAAGCGCAGGAAAAGAGAAGAAAAGGATGCAGCAAAGCGTCTCTCTCGCATAGAGCACGAAGAACAAGAAATTCGCTTGGCAAGGGAAAGAGACGCTCTTCAGGAACGTAGAAGGAGCATGAATTATAGTCCCATTCCTCCCAGTGCTACGGGTTATCCAAACCCAGGTTCTGCGGCCTATGGTGCCTACACTACTGCAGACTTAGATCGTAAATTCACAGATCTCGCGATTGAGCGCAAGGAGCTCGAGAGAGAGCGAAGGAAATACTCTGATGTGGATAGAAACCGCAGAGCCAGCGGAAACTTTGGGGCTGATCGATCTAGCGTTTATAGTTCCCCTGGAGCAACATATACAAGCCCCACGGGTTACCCTACAGCTGGTTATAATCCGACTACTTCACCTTATCGCCCGGCTGGTGCATATCCAACGTCACCCAACGTTCGTTCTGCAGAATTCCCCAGTTCTATGACTGGGTACTCGTCGTCGACATACCCAACTGCGTCAATCCCAGCTGAGCCTATAGCGCGCGCGGCTTCACCGTATGCTAGAGCGCCTTCTCCCTATGCTCGCCCTCCTGATCGTGCCCCTTCCCCGTATGCACGTGCGGCTTCTCCTTATGCCCGTCCGCCTGATCGTGCACCTTCTCCGTACGCGCGTGCGGCCTCTCCTTACGGTCGCCCACCTGACCGCGCGCCCTCTCCGTACGCGCGTGCGGCTTCTCCTTACGGTCGCCCCCCTGACCGCGCACCTTCTCCATACGCGCGCGTAGCCTCGCCCTATGCCCGTCCACCTGATCGCGCACCTTCTCCATACGCTCGTGCACCTTCTCCTTACTCCCGTCCGCCCGATCGTGCACCTTCCCCGTATGCCCGAGCGGCATCCCCTTACGCTCGTGCGCCCTCTCCGTATCGTGGTCCTCCTACAGGCAGTGTCTCCGGGGTGTACCCTCGAGGCCACATTTTGGAGGGTCAGCCGATTCGTCCTGGCTCACGTGCACCGTCACCTATGCCCCCGCCTGGGACATTCCCTACTGCATCATTCACGCACTCCCCTCGTGTCCCTATGGCATCTGTGTCAGGAGAACAGCAACTTGCTGCACCAGAAGGATTTTCGCGCCCTCCCAATGCTGCACAGTCATACACCCCCTTCAATATCATCAGGATTCAGGACATGGAAGAATTCTATGATCAGATACCCAGGATGCCTCTAGTGCTTGATACACACGATGTATATCACGAGGACTGGATTAGATTCATGAACGTAAGTGCTGAAGTCGTGATCACATGTAACCTTCTCAAATTTCCTTCGTTATTTAGGACCTTGCCCTTGCTTGGGCCGGTAAGATGCCTATCCCCGAGTTTTCTCGTGGACCTCCCCCGAAGCGATCAGCTCTTGTCGCCGATCTTGTTGACTTGTGGAACTCGTCTTTCTTTTTGACTCGCCGAGCTGAAGCGGTGTTATATAAAGGTCGCGAACGTCGCTCGGGTCCTAATGCTGGGACAATAGACCACCACCTCCCTGCCTATGATCTCGATAATTTCTCTGATTCTTCCGATTCTTCCGAGTCCACTTCAGATGATGATTCGGAAAATGATAGATACCCGGTTTATGGCCGCTCCACCCCCATGCGTGATGCAGCTGAAGCCAAGCGCCGACGCAGGGAGAAAAAAGAGGAGCAGAAGAGGCGCAAGAAGGACAAGAAGTTGAGGAAGAAGGCCAAGGAAATAGAGAAGAGGTACACTTTGTACATCAGTTATGCGCCTCCTAGGGAGGGCACCATTCCTGGAGGTCTCGGTTTGTATGCTTGATGCAAATACTGACAGTTGTATGTTCGGCAAAAGATAGATAAAGTCAGAACTTGAATGTGTTAACTACGTTGTACTAGTATCGCCATGTCAGATTTCAACTGAATCGCTCTTGAATAAATTATGTTGCATGCACCATCGTGTTACATTATGCAGATGCAACCATGGTGCAGTGTCGTCGTGCTTTTAGACTTGGGTGATAAGATACAGGAAAGGAAAAACTAAAGACATCTCGAAAATATTGATAGTAGTGTATACCTATGTATTACCATCCACCTCGTCCTCTGCCTCTAGGAGCACCGTTATAAGCTCCTCCATTGTAACCGCCTCCATAACCGCCACGGTTCTGTTCCCCATATCCACCGTATCCTCCATATCCTCCATTTCCACCTCTGTTTCCGGCGCCATATCCTCCTCCCCCTCCCCCTCCTCTATTACTATAATTCCCTCCATAATTACCACGTGAGTTCGAGTTCTGGTAAGGTGCCTGCCCGTATGGAGCAGGATGAGAACCATAACCTGGAGGTCCGCCTCTAGGAGGGCCATTATATCCTCCCATATAAGGTTGTGGTGGCCGCCCGTTCGAACCATAGCCTCCGAAGCTCTGTTGAGGTGGTGGCCGGGATGTTGTCTGCGAGTAAACTGATGGATATGATGTTGGTTGGAACTGTCCGTTCGAGCTACCATATCCTCCTCGATCGTGACTATGAGAATTGTACGACGGAGGACCACCTCGGGGACCACCGCGTCCACCACGATCCATTCCTCGCCCCCCACCCCCGCCCCCACGGCCTCTGCGGTCTTGGTTTCTTTGGCGAGGGTCAGTATCTTGCCAAGAAAGTATTCGAGCAGGCTTTCGAACCCCCGGTAACAACATTGAATGATGCGGGGAGACTTGCTTTGGGAAGAAATAAAGCGCAGACAAAGACCGATCATTCGGTATATCTGGCAAATCCACGGTGCTTAATGGCGAGTAGTAAGTCGAACCAGGTAAACAGTCTGGATTGGGCAGAACGCTGCCGCTGATGCCTTTACTCAACTTCACTGGCATCGGCAAAGGCTAAACCAAGATCATTTAATCAGGGGTGAGAAGAGTTAGACGATCCTCATAGAATATACATACCTCCTTGTCCTTACGTTTTCCGTACAGGCCCTCAAAGAAGGGATAAAGTCTGTGCTCGTCTGAGACCAGCAGAACGTTACTTCCCCATCGATTTCGACGCTTCTCTTCTTCACTAAGCTTTTCGTAACCAGGCGCCATAGCTTCTAGGAGACGTTTTGGATCGATAAAAGGTAACAAAGCCACTCCTTGCCAAAGCATTTTCTTCCCATTCATATCGATTTGGAAAGTACTGGGATAAAAATCGATGATTGGCGAGTCATCATTCAGCATGAGATCGTGGAAAACTTCTGGAATATGTTTGCGACTGAAGGGGAGCATTGTCAATGCGATGAAATTAATAAAATATTAGACCATGTACCTGGAAGCAGGGAAGACGCCCATCAACTGTTCAAAAGGCTTAAAAGGTTGACCAAGTTCAAATTTGATTTCCATGGTACTGAGATCTTCGAAGTCTGACGCAAATGGAGCAAAATGGTAGGGATAATACCATTGCCAGGAAGGTGTCTATTGATTCATAATGAAATACCTGCATTGATATCGTGTGAAAATTACAAACCCCTTGATAATAATAATGCAGAACCCAAGAGAGGCCTTCGATATAGTGTTTTGTTAGTCTGCAGGAAAGTTTTATCAATATCTGAGTGGGTGTCATATTTTAAAAAACCAAGTACTCTTTTTTGAACCCTGCGTCGTCTGAAGTGACGTTGAATTTCTGTTCATAATAACGTTGTTTGTAACCTGGTTCATATAGTCTGGAAATACTTGTTAGTTTGCTTGACGGCAACCAGCTTGTCACATACCTAACGGTGTCCTCCTGTTCCACAGACCCATCAGGTTTCACTACTAAAGACAGAGACGATGGCAACGGTTCCTCTTCATCCTCTTCGATATTCTCATCTACTGCATCTGGCTCGTCACTGACTTCGTCAAGTTTTCGCTTCACGCCAACAACTGACGTCTCTGCCTCTTCAGCTGGAAAAGCATCCGGATCAGGTTCTCCTTCAGCATCTACATCGATGTCGTCTTCAGTACCATTCATTGTCTCAGTCATCATAGGTGGATTTCCTAGACCAGGCACTTCTATGTCTTCCACAAGATCCACAGTAGACTCAGCAATTGGCGGTGGCAAAGATACAGAAGGTTTAACGGGCAATGAAGCACTGGGTTTCACGGGAGTAAGACCAGCCAGTTCTGCTTTCAACATCTCAGCGGCGCTCATGTTCGCCATTCGTATCGCTGCTCGATTTGCTACTACATCACGATTGGAACCCGCTAGCGCCTGTGCTGCAGCTGGGACACTTTGCATGGACTGAACAGTAGGCGTAACACCAAAACCAATAGAATCAGCCTTTGCGGCGAAATCATGCATAGGACGCTGAGGAAGGGACGGATGAACAGGCGGAGCCATTGGAGATGCAGTTAATGCTATAGAAGGTGACGGTCCAGATAAACTTTGTATTTCGGGAGGTCTATCGTTTCCCACTCTACGACGTTTAGTCTCTGAATCTTGCCGGTGTTGTGCTGAATGTGTACTTTCAGTAAGATCACGTCAAAAATTGAATATAATGCCTTACCCTCTTGCCGCCGTCTGAAGATATCATCTTCTCTTCGCGCCAAACCTTCAAGTATAATTTGTGCACGAGGTAACTCAAGCTGGCCATGATTCGTCAAATAACCTCCCATTCTGGGTAGCTCATCTTTCCAAATCCTTAGCAAAGTATCAATAGCACCTTCTCGAATCTCAAGGGATGGTAGATGGGGCAAGAAATCGTTCCCAACAAAGAAGATAAGCAGTACCCAGTCATCAATCGCTTGCTCGAAATTGAAAGGGAAGGGTGCATATTTTACGTCAAGTTCGACTTCGAGATATTCGCGCAGAATAGCGACATCGAGGAAAATGAAGGGCTTCTTTTCGGTAGGCGGTTTTTTTATTTCTGTTTTTACCCCTGTACATTGAGCGGCATAGTGACCTTCTTCCCCACATATCCGGCACCCGGTGCCTTTGTCCTGCGAAAATACGTCTTCTCGAAGCACTTTGAAATGAGGCTCATGCGTTGCCAGCGCAAGCATGATAAGGTCAGCATCCTGGAAAACTCTGTGTTAATACTGAGGACAAGAAAAGGCTGGTTTTTTTCACCCACCAAACCATAAATCACGTGACGGGAATTGGGATCATGACCAACATTCGTACGCTGTCTCCTAATGAAATCCATGATTTTATGTTCCCCTTCTCCGGGAACACTAGCGTCAGATATTATTACTTGCAACTATAGAAAATAAATTTGCAAAGTGTTAGTGCCATATGGGTGTGTACAGAAAGTAAAACTTACATCTTTCCATCCGGGGTCCGTGTTCATTTTTTGAACAACCCAGTATCGAAGCGAAAGAGCAAGTAAATCCATGAAAGGTGTACCGGGCGTAATTGCGTTGGAGTCCCAAGCTACCTTATTCTTCTCATCATCACTGATAGTTTTACCCATGGCTAAAAGGACGGTTATTGAAGCCAATGTTAGCGAATATGCATACGAGCTTACCTTCCCACTCTGCAACAGCTTCCCTGCGGGCTTCTTCCTTGTCCTTAGCTTCTTGAGCAGACCTGAAACGCCTCGAACGCTGTTGATTCATCTTTGCACGGGGTGCGACACCATCTTTATCAACAAATGTTAGTGAAGTTAATTAAATCGTGTGAACAACATCCAAAGTCGACTTGCCAATGGCCATGAAAAGAACTTTTCGAGGTCTGACCATGTTGACAACCCGTTCAGTGTAACTGAAGATATCGACCATCATTTCCTCCTCTGTCTCCGGAGCAGGCTATAGTAATATGGAGTATATGATGAGTCCTAAGAGGAGTTCTGAGGGGCGAATACGGAAATACTGACCTTGTTATCAGGGTGGGTACAAGGGTGAACCTAGGTATTCAGGTCAGTACGAAAGTTCGGATGGTAACAGAAATATCCCACAATGCCATTCATATCAAGATACAGATTGTCAAATTCTGTTCCATTGGGATTCGGCGTAGCCATGTTGACCGGAACTTTGATGTTTATGCCCTCAGCATCAGGCATTTCAGTCTCTTCCTCCTCAGCGACAGACTGGACTAAGAAAGAGAAGAAAGGGTTCAGCATGGATTCGTGCAAACTGAATCTCTCACTTACCGATTTTCGGGTACTTCTTGCTGAGCCATCGAAATAAGGCGGGAACACCCTAGCACAAAATATTAGGAAAAGAACGAGCATATAACTAGATGATGTTCCCTACCATGATTTTCTGCCCAAATTACACCTTAAAGTGAGGTTTTATATGTTCAGAAGACCGAGTCAGCCTTATGTCGTAGTGGTTGCAGCGAAAGCTAGTAACTGTGCTCGACGGTGCCGCAAGAAATCGTGAAAACCTGCGCACACGATTGCCGCACAGCTTTCCAAATCCGGTTGCTGACATTATAATTCCCACGTTCCCCACACTATGACTCGGGCAGCCTTCCTGACTCGGAAGATATCACAAGATTTCTTTATGCCCTCCTCTCTTCCCAGGATCCCCAACTATCTGCTCCTTTCACCAGCTTTGCTCAACAGCTAGGCGACATCTTATCGCGCAGCTATCATGAAAAGTGTATTTCAGAATGTCACCGTCAACGGCGAGGCATCTGGATCACAGCAACCACCGAAATCGCAGAAGACGATGACCAAGGCAGAGAGAAGGGAGCTACAAGAGAAACAGCGCGCTGCTAAGGCTGTTTCAAAGACTCCGGGTGCTCCAGGGGGAGCCGCCAATGCTAAAGGAGGCGCGAAACCATCGGTACCCGCACCAAGCACTCCTACGGCCAAGAAGGTTAGGAGAGGTACCGATGCTGCTATGACGAAGCCAGCAGGAGCTGGCAAGGATGTACTGAGTATCGTTGGAGAAGATACAGCTCGTGGTCTCAGGATATTCTCGCATTTTGGGCTACCCAAACCCCCTGGCCAGGCGAAAGGAGATATACACCCTACAATCGTACGTCTAGGCCTTCAGTTCTCAGAATTCAAGATCTCAGGTGCAAATGCGCGGTGTATTGCGACGCTCACAGCGTTCAAAACTGTATGTTTGTTTATATTACATCTTAAGCCGAACAGATGCTGATGGGTCATTAGGTGATCCAAGACTATGTCACCCCTCCCAATAATACGCTGTCGAGACATCTGATGACTCATCTTTCCCCACAAATAACATATCTCGTTTCCGCAAGACCGATGTCAGTTACAATGGGAAATGCAATCAGACAGCTAAAGCTTGAAATCAGTGGATCCGATATCGATCTTCCAGAACAAGATGTCGGTACTGTTATCTTCGTATCATAACGAAGTCTCTGATTATTTTATCAGGCAAAAGATGCGTTGTGTCGGAAGATCGATAACTATATACGTGATCGCATCATTATCGCCGACCAAGTCATCCAAGAGACTGCTGGAAAGAAAATTAAAGATGGTAACGTGATAATGACATACGCTAGGTAATTATGAAAGTCACTTTTAATGTTTCTTTTCATGTATTAAACGTATATGTAGATCGTCAGTGGTAGAAAAAGTACTTCTTCGCGCTCACGCGGAAGGCAAGCAATTTTCTGTAATCGTGGTCGACTCGAGACCAATGTTAGAAGGTGAGGTCTGAAGTCAATGGTTGACGTACTCAATCTCATGCCATGTTATGTATAGGAAAAAAATTGTTAGCTGTTCTCTCGTCCGTCGGCATACCATGCACATACCTTTTATTACCGGCTGTCGGCTCCATCATCACGGAAGTATCGATCGTGCTAGTTGGCGCTCACTCATTACACTCAAATGGCGCCGTGTTTTCGAGGGCTGGAACTGCATTGGTGGCTATGATGGCCAAGCAGCATTCAGTACCTGTCGTCGTTTGCTGTGAAACCTATAAGTTTTCTGACAACGTACAACTGGATAGTTTCATCAAAAATGAGCTTGGTATGGTTTTTCCTAGACTTGAAAATTTATGTACCGATTTATATTTCTTATAGCTCCCGAAGGCGACCTCTTCTCATCGTTTCCCTTAACGCGACCCAAAAATACCTTGACTCTTCACGGTCAAGCAAATCTAGAAATCTTGAATCCTTTGTACGACCTAACGCCTCCCACAAGCATCACCGCAGTGGTGACAGAAGTTGGTGTCATTCCCCCTAGTTCTATCAGCTCGATACCTTTAGCCTTAGGCCGCACTACAATTTGAGATGAATCATTCAATTATACTGCTAAGTTACGATTAATTACACTGGACTTGGGGCATCTCGTATGTATGCTTAGACTTGTGTGGTGTACGTATGTGGTCATTTGCAAGTGTATATTGTTCGGCCAAGTACTACTTGTAACTCATAGCTTTGTAGCGTGCTTTCGAAACTCGTTTTAATTTATACAATCGCTTTGTTGTGTCGGAGTAGTTATATCACACAGGAAGTCTAAATGTGAGACATGTAATAAAACTGTATGTTTATTAATCCAAACTAACCAGCCTACACAGTCATATTAATGCAGACGATAGATAGCCCAGCTATAGTTCAGTTTTCTTGCTAGAATCCCGTTCCATAACTTGTTTTTCTATCCACTCAAATGCCTTATCGGTCACTTGTTCTACAGGATGGTCGAATAGATAGGGCAAGACAGGTACAATCGCAAGACCGGTGAAAGTTGGTCCCCACGTTTTGACACGAGTATTCTTGACGTTTGCGAACGCCTTACGCGCCTGTTTGACTGCGGTATGTATCGTGAAAGCTGGGAGAGCCCTAAACGAGACATGAAGGTTATTAGGTGAGCAGAAACCATGCGAAGAAGAAAGGAACCGAGCTAACATTGACGCTATGGATTGGAAGATCGCACGTTTGACACCTACCATACCTATTCTCGTGGGCTCGGAAAAATGGGCGGCTTCTAGGGGACTTGGGCCTCTTCTGTGAGCTTTGTAAGCTTCATAGCCTACATCACTGTGACGGTGTTAGCCCCACATCATGATGGATGGGGAAGTGCTTGGTCTGTGACGTACCCAGCAAGGTAAACCCAGGAAATACCGTACGCCGCAGTGACTATACTTGGGTGAACGACAGGTCGAAAGGCCTCGCCAACATCACTGGTCTGGGATGAGTCTACACCACAAAAAGGTAGGAACAGAGATATGAAATGTCTTACATATGCAATGTACCGGGTGCTTGCTCGGAGTGCGGTTCGCAGACGAGCACCGTAAGCCATGTAGCGCAGATCTGAGTCTGTTGAGTCTACATTCTTGTCTGCAAGGGTGGTGAGCTCGTCTTGAGCCTTTTCTACAAGCGTTTCGTTTCTAGACATATCTTCGAGTTGAAACTGTAGCAAGAGTGAGCCAGATCAAAATACTGAGACGCCGTAGCGGCCGTTACTACACGCTGAGCTGAGAGGCGTTGGGTCTGCCGAACGAACGTGGGCAAAGAAAGCCGGCCGGCGTAAGTAAGCGAGGCCGGTGGCAAATTCCGGGTGTGGCCGTGAGTCACAAGGGGGACGTCCGCCACTGTTTGTCGTCGTACCAAGCGTTCTCTAGTACTTGTACTTGAACCAAGTCTTCAAGACTGTTTCTTGTTTCTTATCTTATATCCTTATGTCGGAATCCATGGCTGTTGAAGGCAAGCCCCAGGACATCGTGCACGGACCCACCCAGGATGTGCCAGCGAAGATCAGCGCATATTACAGCCTCGTCTTCCCAAACATCACCTTTTATCTCCAGACCCTCAATGTCACCATTGGCCGTCGATGTATCCCAGCTGCATCTTCGTCGTCTGCAGAGCATACTCCCGTGGACGTCGACCTCGGGCCTCTCAAGAGCGTCTCGCGGCTGCATGCCAAGATAGAGTACGAAGAGGAGGAGGAGCGTTTCATTCTTGTCGTTGTGGGTAGAAATGGGGCTTGGGTCGACGGCGTATGGTCAGGCAGCGGAAGCAGGGTTCCCCTCACTGAACGGTATGTAGACACGTTTCAGCAAATGAACTCATGTCTCACTATTGCGTAGATCTCAAATTCAGATAGCTTCCCGGACATTTCACTTTGTCTTGCCCCCTCCTCCTCCACTTCCAGAAGACTCGCCCTCTCCTAGCTCCCAATCTTCCGCACAGAGACCACGTTCCCCATCCGTGGATATCACCTCAATCTCTCCGCCATCCTCTTTCATATCTCACTCTCCCCCGCCTATCGCTCCCCCTCCCGCCTTACCCCCGAAGCTCGCCCCTGAACCTGAACCACAACTCCCCAACTCTAACAGCATCTCTAGGGCTAAGAATTCGTCAAAGAAGCGCAAGAAATCCGACGTCGATATCCTGGCACGGCCAAAGCCAGAAGTTATGCCACCGAAGCCACAATTCACTTATGCCCAATTATGTTATCGCGCAATAAAGTCTATGGGAGGGAAAGCTACTTTACAAGATATATGTACTTGGATGATGGAAAATCACGATTGGTATCGCTACAACGAAGGCGCTGGTTGGGAGGTATATTGACCCTTTGTTTTGTCTTTATCAACAATGCTAAAATGTCAAATTTTCAGAATTCTGTTCGACATAATTTATCTTCCGGTCGTGCCTTTAAGAAGATGGAGCGTAGTACAGGTGAACGGGGGAAGGGTTTTTATTGGTCTGTGGATGAGAAATTCGAGCATATATTCGAGGAACAGGAAGCCAAGAGTCAAGCCTTGGCTGCACAAGTCAGTGGTGGAAAAGACGGCAAGTCCAAGAAGAAAGACAAAGGAATGCCCCTAGAGCCTGCTTTGAAGCGAAGCATCAAAGGTGACCTAAAGGGAACCCCGCTTCCACCGCCTCTTACCTCAGCTCCACTTGCGATGAAGTCTTCCTCCACGACTGCTGCACACCGTTCCGGTCTCTTTACTACTGCTCCCCTATCAACCCCATTCGGTACTGCACCTGCTGTGAAGATGGAACCGTCCGCTCCACCTCAACTCACACCCGCACCTCCAAATGTATCTGCCTCGGGTGCTCAGTCAGTGAATGTATCCACTGGAACTACTCCTCATGCATCATCTCCAGCTCCCCCTACCGGCTCGACTACGCTATCTAATGAAGCCGTCAAGTCTGTACAGCCGCCTCCTTCCATGGCCGCACTCCCTCCATCTGTCTGCTTGCCGATCATCGTCGGCCCTGTCCCTCCATCTCATCCATCAGCCTCTTCTAGCGATCCTACTGCCCAACAGACGCAACCGATCGTCCTCCACAACAACACACTCATCCTGAACCCGACTATATTTTCTCACTTGACTCCCGAGCAGCTGCGTGAACTAGAGGCATTAGGAGCACAGAAGGCACTGGAAATTCTACAGGGCTATATTGTGAGATTTCTCAAAGAAAGGATGAAGACTGAAGGGTCTCGGGGAAGGGGTCGCGGGAAACCGAAAAGAGGTCGTGGCGCTGGTGCTGGGAGAGGTGGTCCCCCAGTAGCAGGTATGGCAGCAGAACCGGGCCCCTTTACTAGCAATACTCTTCCCCTTCGCAATGCGCAGGCAAAAGATTCTGAACTGGATCAGCAAGGACAGTCTTCACATCCACCTGCAGCTGAGACTGTACCGGTATCTGTGAACGCGAAGCCACCTATTCCTGTTCCAATCACGCCTCCTAGCTCTGTCTCGATACCTCCTCGCGAAGACACATCTTCCCCGATTATCGTTGTTGATGATGGAGACTCACCAGTCGATGATGAACCGGCGATGAAGAGAAGAAGACTGGACGCAAGTGTTGCTAGTGGATGACACACGTGACACTCGATCGGTTTTCCTTTCACGATGGTCACGATAATATGGTGTCAATCATTTGTTTTCCCCCTCTTTTTGGTTATGATCCACAATTCATATCTTTAGCTAGTTTCTGGTATTGGCGGAGGGGTGTATGGGTTCCCTTCTGCTTCGTTGATTCGTGTGGTTACGAATTGATGATGTATAGCAGCCTTTTTTTACCACTTACATATGAATCATTATAATGCGATTTTTTGACGGATTCATGCCAGTTTTCATGGTGTGAGATGTCTTACACCAACGATTCATAGATTTTCCACAACAGTTGCTGTTGACCACGCACACGGAAGTAACCTAGAAATTAGACCAGTAATAGACATTTCAATATGTATTTCTGGATATAACAAGAGTACAACAAACGTAGAGATTATTTTGGGTATAGTGCAAATTTTGGAAACACGACAGCAATGCGATAGCAGAATATAAGTACAGCAATCAACATGTACGAGGACAGCAGTTTCAGTTTCATCAACAAGATCAAGCACTCCATACTTCCTAGAACTTTTTATAGTTTGTATTGCGGTGTGGACATTGACGTTACAATATCATGATCTTTCCGGAACAGTAACAGCAGCGGCAGCGGCACAGCAAACTGCTTATAAGTGGAACCGTTTGTTGAAAAACCGCTGGGCAAGGCAATTCAAGATCCCCTCTCCAATTTTCCTCGTCTCCCATTCTTGCACGGGGTCGCAGCTTAACGCTGCCTGTTTTATGTGTTTTGCAAGGCGGGACGAATGAATCTCTGAGTTGCTGATAATCCATTTATGGCGATCAACTTCTTTCAGCACATCTAACAGCTCTTTCTGTTCAATAATCTGTGGAATTATGAACTTTAGTCTATCTTTTTCTGAAGAAGTAGGAAATTTTCTCCACTCACCGGCACTGGGCCTCCCTGGGCCTCCTCGGATGCAGCTTTGCGCTTTCGATAAATCTTGGCCAGTTTATTAGACCACTCTAGCATTGTGTCATATAAGACGATCGCCTTCGCACGTTTGGCGGGGCGTGAGGTCTTTTTCTTGCGAGTTTCTTCCTCCTCCTCCTCCTCCTCTTCCTCGTCACTGGAGTCCGACCCCAACGAGTCGGCTTTTCTCTTGCCCTTCCAGCTGGAGGCCTTAGAGTATGAATTGCCGGAAGCTCTCCTTCTCTCCGCCCACTGATTTGCGAGTTCACTGGCACTACGAATATCTTCGGTTTGTCGTTGGACAGCAGGGCTGATGATCTCTTCGGGCACCGAGGATCCCGAAGATACGGGGCTGGACGCGGTGCCGACATCAGTTGTATGCTCTGACATCTCGGGCTCTGTGCCGTGCGACTGCACACCCTCCTCTTCACTGAAGTGTCCATGTCTATCCCCGAATATGTCGTCGGGATCAGAGTCAGAGCCACTGTCGATTATATCTCGCCGTACATCCGTCATCTGTGGTTCGTTCTCGTGATACTCGTGCTCTCGATCATGTCCTTGGTCATCATGAGTACGTGCGCTCAGCTCTGCTAAACCATCATCGTCCGAATCACTACTGATTTCGATAATCTCTCGCGGCCCGAAGAAATCATTATCGTCTGCTTTGTCTTCGACAAGGAGTGCTGCAGTTGATGGTTTCGGTATATTTACGCCTGCATCTCGTGGTGCACACTCACCATCCTCTTGGACTGAAGCATCCATCGTATAATCTTGCCAAGCATCTGCACCATCTGTAGGTTGTTCGACAATTGCTTCAGGTATAAGCTCGCTGCCCTGGACCTCATCCCTTAACTCTCCCACTCCTGTTTCGCCCTTGGGTTCGCTGCCTTCTGCATCATCCCTGAGCTCTCCAGCTTCTCTATCGCCGCTGGACTCGTCTATCTCTGGCCCATCCCTGAGCTCCCCTGCTTCTAATTCATCCCCGAACTCTCCAGCCTCTGTCACTACAACATTTGCAGGAGCTGCAGTTCCTGATAAATTGTTCAGCGAAGTCTCGCGAGCTTGTGAAGCCAGTTTAGGTCCTTGCTGCCCAACATCCACATCATCGACGAGGTTTGTGGTCTCTGCGACTCCCCGAACTGCCGTTTCCGAGGTATTAGCCGAACCGTGAGCTGTGAACGCATTACTGCCTGCCGGCAGTGCCGGCTCAAGCTCTTTCTGCGCCGGCGCACCTACATCTTCGACGAATGTTGCAACTCCTGTGTTAGCTGTAAGCAGCTCGTAAGGCGCGTTCAGCTGGAAATCCAGCATAAGTGACTTACCATTGTTAGCTAGTTCTGATGTCTCCCGGACAATTTCTTCCAGGTCCTGGCTATCTGGAAACGCCAGCTCAAGATCCTCGTCTATAGGATCTTCATCGGAGAGGGTGGTTGCGATTTCTAAGATCGGTGGACATAGATTAGCAAATAAGCATGGTTTCTGGATGGGTGTCGGGAACGTACCATCGTCTGGAACTAACGCCGGCTTGAACGTGTCTTGAACAGTTCGTTGGTGAATCGGCAACGTGTTAATTTCTGGTAGCGCCGGCTCTGCTTCTTTGTGTACCACATCTATGTGTTCAACGAGAGTTGCAGCTTTTGTGGCTTCGAGCGTAGCTGTGCACAAATCACTCGACAAACCCTGCTGCGAGGCAGTGACTGGATCTGGGGCCAACGCGTCCTGAACCATATGTTCCGTGTCGATTTCTGGTAATGCCAGCTCCAGGTCTTCTTCTTCTTCTACATCTGCATCATCGGTGATAGATGTGGTTCCCGTGGTCGTAGAAACTGCCAGACATGAAGTATCAGACGCGTTTGCTTCCGGTGATTTCAAGTTAGAGATTGTCGACGTACCATCGTTGGCCGGCAAAACTGGCGCTAACGCGTCCTCAGAAACCCTTGCAAGACTTTCGCCCTCAGCCTCAGTTACTTCAAGTTGCCGTTCATACGCTGAAGCTACAGCGGGAAAGCGAGAAATGGTGTGGCGCAATGAGATCTGAAGGGCTTCATGGCGACGACGAGCAACTTCAGGAGGTATAGATTCGTTGAAAGGCAAGCGCCGGTTGTGAAAGCGCTGAGGAAAATGATGGCTACGATCGGACATGGAAAATGAAGCAGCTCCAAACGCGTTCTGAGTCTGAAGAGCTCTAAATTTGGACGGATTGGCTGTACTGGCTGTAATCAAGCCTTCATGAGCATTTTGATGAGCAGGTTGGCTGTTTTGAGGGATATGGTTAGGAACTGAGCTATGACCAATGTCAATATCAGTCCTTTCAGCACCTGCCACTGCAGGACCAAGCACTGCAAGACCAAGGGCTAAATCCTTTTTGCCCTTTATCACCCTGGGGGGAATGATTTTGGTATGAGACAATGGCTCTGACCATTGGACAGACTGATTGTGAGCATGGGCCAAGGGTACACCACTTCTGGACTTTTTCAAGATAGATAATTTTTGCCCATTGAAGGACTTCAGTGCAATAGGATCTGAACACAACACCGCGCTTGGTAAGACTTTGAAACCACTTTTAATCAATAACAAACCATTACTATAACTCTCCAAGGTAGGAGAAGGAATAGTATATGACATGCCAGGACCACCATCAAGTGCATCACTAAGTGAAGAAGAAAGACGCTGAGAAGTCATAGTTATCCCACAATTGGTGGTGGAATATGCAGCTAATCACAGCTAATATAGCATTGTCAATCAAGATATGTATATATATAAACACAAGTATTGGGCTAACCTTGTTCACAGATGATGATGGTAACAGAAAAAGAGGGGTAGTTGCAATTTTCCCATCTGGTGCTGCTTATATATTTGGCAGCTGAGTTTAAATCTGGCTTTCAATTTTGAGCTCAGTATGATTATTGTCTATTTTAGGCATGGATCAGCCATATTACTCATATGACTTTGATTTATAATAATTTTTGTCATTCACAATTAGTCAGCATACTACAAATAATTTCACCCAAGTTTTTGGGGAATTTCTGGATTGCATAAATTCTGGATTGCATAAATATTGAAACTCAGCTTACTAGCATTAAAATTTTAAAACTAGAAGAGACAAGATAGAGGTTGTAACGACCAAGAGTTTCTTACTCTGGCGCACAACTTGGACAAGCAAAAAGAAGAGAGAAGGGATCACCCCTTCGGTTTCAACAAGTTAGTTGTGCTAGACAACAGGAGAACTCACTGAGTCCTTCCCCATGTATTGCTCCTGTATATATACTAAAATACATGAGGTACTGTACAGTTGTAAATAAAGTTTAAAGTCCGATGTCTAGCATGTGACCGGTCACATGCTAAGTCTAGATACTGGTCAGGTGTTGTTGGTCATGTGACTATGAAAAGTTGAAAATGTAAAGTAAAGTAAATAGTCACATGGCTGGTCATGTGACTTGGAAAATAAAAAGTAAAAGTACAAAAAGTGAAGCGTAAGTAGGTACTGGTACGTCAATTGTAACAGAGGTAGCATTAGTTAGCTTGATGTTCATATATTACTTGTGTAAATAGCACATGACTTTTATATAGACTGCTTTGTCTGTTTGACTAATCTGGGCTGAGTGCAAAATAGGAACTCAGAGTTGAGCTTTACTGCTATTTTCAAAACAGTTGATATAAATATAGATAAACATTCTGTAGTGTTCTATTGTATTCTATACAATCTTATCGCTGAGTAAGTAAAGGTATGATGTCATATCATTCATATTGTGTAGTCACATGGTGGGTCTAGACATTAGTCAAGTGAGGTGTCACATAATTGGTCACATGACTTTCAAAAGTAAAATTAAGTAAAAATATACTAACACTGTATAGATTATCCTAGTCTCCCCAGTCAGACCAAATTACTGATATGATAGTCAATATCAGTAAATACTGTAAGGTCTGACCTAAACTATGGTGCAGTTCACTTAGACACCACCTGTTTTGTGCAAAATTCCCACTCCTCCGAAAAAAATTCTGATTTTTATTTCATCTTGCAAAATCATTCCTTTTGATGAGAGGATCAATGCCCTAAGATGGATTTTTTTTTGGATAATATCCGACTGAGATAAGTTTTGGTGGGAGGTCAAGTTGGCGGGTAGGTATAAACAAGTTTCCCATCAGTCAAAAAGACGTGCTACGTTCTCTGGGACTTGTCTGTGTGACTTATACTTTGTAGAGCTGAACTGCTTGACCTGTAATTGTGCATCTTTTGTCCCCAGGCCTGACCGGTAAGCATTAATCCACCAGTGCATCCAATGCTCCCACAACCGTATTGTGCTCACATGCACTGACTCCAAAGCTTCTGGAAAACTCTCCTTAAGTGTATCAAACGAGTCATTGCAGTTGTCACGGAGATATTTGTTGACCCTCCCACAGAAGAACTCAATAAAATTAAGTTTGCAGTGGAACTTGGGCAGGAAAATGCACAGATGTCCTGCCTGCTCGATAGTCTCCTGGACAAGGGATATCTGTTTGAAAAAATCAGGCTGATGCTCTAAAATTGCTTGTTATAGCAGGCTACAATGCTAACAATATTTGTATCCTTCATAAATTTATCTGGGCCCAGAACACACTAAATGTAACAACCAAGAGTTAGTTACTCTGGCGCACACAGGAACACACTATAAATGTAGTGAATGGGGAGTGGTTACCCCTTAGGCTGCAGAGAGTTTGTTGGTTAACAATAGGAGGACTCGCTGAGGAGTCTCCTTGATCTATTGGGGTATTTATACTAATACAGAGTGTTTGTACCTATGTACTGTACAGTTGATAAAAGGAGTGGCTGATGATGTCAGAGGGCGCAGCCCGTGTGACCAGCTCCACTGTGTGAGAGACTTTGTGTTTAAAAGAAGAATAAAGGCAGCGTCATGTGAGAAAGTGGAGTTAGAACGAAAAGGAAAGTGCCGCATGGCATGGAGTGTGAACTATCGTAAAAAGGTTAAAGTGGAGAATGAAAATTAAAGGAAAGGTCCAAAAATTGTGTTATCGTAACACTACCCCCCTTCTAAGGCTCAACTTCCAGGCGAGACCAAATACCAGAGGTGGTAGTTAAATTTTCTCGCATAGTTTGAAAAAGAGAATTAAAAAGTTTTGAATCCATGCCTCTAAGCTTCCTAGGAGCTGAGGGATTCTTAGAATAAAATTTGGGAACAGCGTTGCGGGAGTTATCCAGATGGGCTTCTGGCTCCCACGTTCTGTCCTCGTCTCCATAGCCCTTTCACAGGACTAGGAACTCTAATTTACCACGCTTCAAGTGTGCATCCACCACCCGTTCAACTTCGAACTCTTCTTCACCTTCCTGGGTGACTACAACCGGTCCGGGGGCCGGTCTACACGCTGTCCCGGCAGCGGCCCTTTGTAGGGTTTCACATGACTAATATTGACCGTGGGTACTACCCTCATTCGTTTTGGGAGTTCCAGCGCCACTGCGTTGGGTTTGACTTCCTTAATCTGGTAAGGGCCAATCCACTTTTTGGTCAGTTTTCTAGACTGCCGATCTTTTAACTTTAAGTGGTCAGTATCTAACCAGACCAGGTTGCCAACCTTGTAGTCAGGGGCCTTAGAGCGTCTACGCTCTGCCCTGTCTTTCATCTGCTCTGCAGTTTTGAATAGTGCCTTGCGCGTTTCGTCTAAGACAGACTTCATGTCCTTGGTCATGTTCCCAGCAGCCTCGTTCTTGCTTCTGCCAGGTTCTACACCCATTCTGGGGAGGTACAATCTTGTTACCTCAAATGGTGCCTTTCCTGTAGCCGACGACTGTTTAATATTGTATGAGAACTGGGCTATCTTTAGCCACTTGGCCCAATCCATCTGCCTGTCACTAATAAATATACGGAGGTATTGTTTCAACTCCTGGTTTAGTCTCTTTGTTTGTCCATCAGTCTGCGGATGGAACACCGTTGATAACTTGGGTTTGATGCCCAGCATCCAGCATAATTCTTTCGTAAATTCGCTAGCAA